CTAGCTCTTCATTGTCTCCCAAATTATTTTTCATAAATTCCTTTATTTTAGTATATTTTGCAATTATTTTTGAAATTGTATTTTCGGTTTGCATTTCACTGTTTTTACTGATTTTCAAATCATATCCGGAATTAAACTCACGTTTCATCTGAAGAGTGGATCCATTGAAACATAGGATGCCTTTAGATATAATACATATGCGATCAGACAATAGGTTTGCTTCTTCGAAGTCGTGAGAAGTAATCAAAACTGTTTTCCCGTTATTTCTCATATCAATGATCAGATCCCAGACCTGTCTTCGTATCTTTGGGTCCAAAGCAGCCGTCGGTTCGTCTAATACTAAGACATCGTTGTGTCCGATGAGAGCCATAGACAGCACCAGTCGTCGCAGTACTCCTCCCGACAGATGTACCGCTTCTTTGTGTTTGTCTTCTTCCAGATTTAATCTGTGGATTAGGTTTTCGCCGACATAACCATCAGTGGTCTCACGTATAATGCGTTTAAGTTTTGAGAAAATCATCAAATGGTCACTAATTGTCAAGTATTTGAAGTAAACGTTTTCCTGCGGACAAAAGCCAATCAAATCGCGGACTAAACCCCTCTCACGTGTTATATCATGTCCACCGATATATATCTGGCCGTCGAAGTCAACCAAACCGGTGATGATTTTGATGAGAGTTGTCTTTCCCGACCCATTGGGTCCCAGAATAACGGCAATAGACTGTCGATCGATGTCTATATCAATGCCTTTTAATATCCTTTCACTCTTCAGACCAAACAATGATTTATAATCTTTTCGTAAATCTTTTATACGAATTATGGATGGATTTTCAATCATCGATTCGTAGGTCTTGAACCGACTTTTGGCCAACAATTGTCTCAATTTTTGGTAAACACCGGAAACGGGAAAATAAAACGGTTTATGAATTGTGTGTTTGAATGGTATGATTGACGAGAAATACCAAATCATAACACCATATATGGGGTACGAGATTAATGTAGTGATCATTATATGAGCTAAAGTCATGTCATCAAATAGGTATCCGGTGTTGAATATCTGTCCCCAATTGGCACCGGAATCGGTGTTCACTTCCAGTCCCAGACATATATGTATAAACCAATATAGTGCCCAATGGGGTAATAAACATGATATATTTTTTAGTCCCAGATGTGATAAGCCCTGCTCACCATCTTTAAGTATGACTAACATAAAGCTGATGGGAATCGCAAATGTTGTAATCCATACAATTATCATAACGACGACAGCGATGTTAGGGCTCCGGAAGAATACGGATATAAAACACACAAATAGTATGCATTGAATGAGAAATAGAAATAAAAATACGGTAAACAATGACAGAGACATGTCTAAAAGTAATGAATGCGATCGGATTAACACCGGATTAGTCTCTTTTAAATCTTCGTAATAATATATGTTATGATAACATAGGATCGCCGTAAGGATCAGATTCTGGACACCGATGACAGTGAGGGCGTCGATGATAATTGTGAGCCAATAATCGGTGCGATTGACACCCAATTGAAACAAGTAGTCAGTGATGAGTGTCTGTCTGTCCTCTACTATACGTTTCACAACAATCGGTAACATTAATGTCAAACCAAATATTATAGGAAAAACTATCAGTATAAGGGAGTTAATGTGTCGGGTGTACAATGTTTTGTCTGTGATATTATAGGCCGGAAATGGCATTAACTGCTCGTTTATTGTGATATTATTAAAGTAAGCATTTCCCGTCACAAGTGATATGTGAGCCAAATCGACGGCTAATTGAATGTTACAAAATCGGTAATAAATATAATTGTCGGAAACTGAGAGTCGATTATAATCGCCGGTGAAATAGTCGTCGACCGGTTGATACAAATTGTTTGTGAAATACAAGTTATTATCTGTTAATTTATAGGCCAGATGTTTGGGTACACCGGCACCCAATCCCTGTCCATCCCAGCCATTATCGCCGGTAAATCGGATGATATATGTATCCCATTTATTAAGTTTATATTCCCGACTGACCATGGTGTTTAGCTCATGCAAAGTGTTTGCTCCTTGTATTTCAAACGTATAATAACGTGATATTTCATCATTATGAGCTACTGGATTAAAATGGTCTTTGACCATGCTCATCAGTTCATTCGTGTAATTATTAGCCGGATAGTAGATTATCAACGGATTATAACGAATAGTGTTTACCTGAAAATATCGCTTTAGTAAACGCTCGGAGAATTGCGTTGGCGAGTAATGGGTGGCATTTCTGGTCCTATTCTCGTTGCCTCTGCTCTTATAGCCAAAGTGTCGGTCATTAAAGTGCCGTTTTCTGTCATACGTCCGGCCGTTTGTCGCGACTATAAGTGCCGCACAAATGATGGGAATTATAAACAGCGAAATGAATGCTATTTTATGGTGAGATCTGATTAACCAATTCTTGTGCAGTAATACACATATCACTCGTATATGCGATGAAAACTTCATGGTTTTGCTTCACAACGTTTTCAATACATATAATAATATTTTATTATGTTAGATTAGACGTTATAATAAATATTTTATATCATTTACATAATTATTTTTAGTTTAAAGCCTTAAACATATACGAAAACCACGAAAAATATTTTGCTATTATTAAATGATACACTTTTTACACAACAAATTTTAAATTTTTAATATAATTTCCTGTTCATGAATATTATATTGGATTATATTGGATATTATATTAAATTATAATAAACACCAATGAAAGACATGCAATCAAGTTTTATCATGTAAGAGTAATATGCGTCTACATATAAACTAATTTATTGATTTTAATATTGAACATTTCCTTGTTTAATAAATATTTAATACAAGAATGTAAAATAAAAAACAACTAATCAATCAAATAACAATTAATATAGATAAAATAATTTTTTGTTATAACTGTATTGAAGAACTTTTATGTAAACTGAAGGCCAATAATTGCATATTTAATTTAAATATGAAAAATTTTAATATGCTATTTGATAACATAAAATATTGTGCTATTAATCAATACATTTAATTAAAAGTTATGCATTAACTTATAAGTGACCTTGTTTGTCTGTGAAAATGTAGTTGTCCTTGGTGGTCCAGGTAAAGGAATGGTTTGTCAAGTAGGGAAAGTAAAATAAGTTTTACTATATTAATTATTAAATTTGTAAATTGTTTGGAAACAATTAATTGTCACATAGATTTTCAATTTAAAACACATTTAAATTAATTCAGACATCAATTTCATGTCTATAAAACTTTTGCATTTATAGACTATTGTTGAAAATAATTACATTATTTTAGTTCTCAACAAAATTTTAACTATTTTATTGTTAATGAGTTTTTACATAATAATTTATTATTCTTATGTTTAAAATAATGTTTGCTAAAACTTTATAAACTTAAACCAGAACAGTGCAGATTTTATTAAAATAATTTTTATCCAGGTATTATTGTTGTTGTAAATTGTGATTAGTATACAAACATGAATCGCAAATGCTATTACAATTAATTTGTTATTAATTAAGTTAAAACAATCCACCACTTTCATTATATGGTTACATTATATTTGAATGTTTAACAATGATAATAAATTGATTATAAAGTATGTTAGTCTAAAATAGCCGCGTTTACTCGATTCTACCCGCGTTTACCCGATTCACCCGCTCTGCGAAACGTTGTTTTGTGTCTTTTAGTGATATTGAAGACAGTATTGTGTTTTGGAGTGATTAACAGATGAAACTCATATTCAAGGTTTTGGTCGGTTTTATGGTTAGCTTTGATGTCGTATTTCTGAAGCAAAGAACTCAGATATAGAAACACTTCGACAACTCCTAAGCCCTCTCCCGGACACGACCTCTTCCCTAATGCACAACACCTTTGCATTACTTTTGCTATTATTTGGGACTCAAATCAATACAAACCGTAGGAAAATGGTATCAAATGCTCGGGTTTTTTGAATGTCTTGAGATTTTCGCTGAGAAACCTTTGGGGTCTAAATTCCGATGGATTATCCCAAAGGTTTGGGTCGTTATCAATGGCCCACAAGTTGACCAAAATTTGAGTGTCTTTTGGTATTTTAAATCCTGAGATTACCATATCTTTAGACGCACTGAAAGTTAAAGCAAATTGTTATAGAAATATGAGAGAGAGAGAGAAAGAAAGAAAGAAAGAAAGAAAGAAA